CCTCATGGACCACAAGCCGCTGCTGGGCCTCCTGGCCCCCAACCACCAGACCCCCCAGATGATTTCACCCCGGGTGCTCTGCTGGTCTGTTTTCCTGGCGGGGTACTCCTACGCTCTCGTCCATTGGCCTGGCAAGGTAATAGGCCACGCGGACGCCCTGAGCCGCCTACCCCTGCTGGTCTGTAACCTGGATCCAGCTCCCACCCACCAGATAGCTCTCCTGGAGACCCTTCCAGATCGGCCGGTCCATGTTGCGGAGGTGGCTCACGGCACCTCCAAGGATAAGGTACTTTGCCGGATCTTGGACTGGGTGGTGAAGGGGGTGGCCCGTGGCCAAAGGAGACCCTGACGTAATGCCCTTTGCTTCCTGGAAGGACGAGCCGTCCGTCCACCGGGGCTGTGTCATGTGGGGTACTAGGGTGGTCATCCCAAAACCCCTATGGGAGTGGGTCCTCACCGCCCTTCACGAAACGCACCCCGGGGTGGTGCGCATGAAAGCCTTGGCCCGGAGCTACGTCTGGTGGCCAGGGTTGGAGGACGTGGTGAAGCGGTCCAACCCCTGCCAACGGTCCCGGCCCAAGCCCCGGAACAGGCCTGGGAATCTTCTCACTGCCCCTGGTCCTGGTTACACTTGGATTTTGCGGGACCATTCTAGGGGCAACTCTTCTTTATCCTGGTGGATTCCTTCAGCAAGTGGCTGGAGGTAGTTCCTGTGCCCGCCACCTCCTCAAAGGCAGCCATCCGGGCGATGTGGCGGATCTTCAGTGCCCAGGGAATCCCCGACGCGCTGGTCACGGACAACGGGATGACGTTCACATCAGCGGAGTTCCAGGAATTCACGAGCTACTACGGGATCTGCCACGTCCGGGCTGCCCCGTTCCACCCTGCTACCAACGGCCAGGTCGAGCGCATGGTCAGAACCACAAAGGATACTCTCCGCCACTTGGACTCCCCGGATTATAAACTGGCAGCTTTCCTTTTCGGCCAGCGAACGACGCCCCACACCACTACAGGGCGCAGTCCGGCAGAGCTACTTCTGGGCCGCTTGGCAACCCGGTTGGATCGTCTGCACCCCGACCGGGCATCGACAGAGGCACTGGGCATGGAGACGCACGAGGCAGCCAGGGGTTTCTTCCCGGAAGATCCCGTGTACACACGGAACTACGCCCGGGGGCCCACCTGGATCCTGGCACGAGTCATACGAGTTAAGGGCCCCAGATCGTATGAGGTCTCTTGTGAGGATGGCCAAGTTCTACACTGGCACATCGACCAGCTATGCCGCCGGACGATGCCATTGGACCCCGAGGACTCGGACATAGCCGAGGTTCCGGAGACCTTACCCCAGGCCCAACTCCCGGTGGCCGACCCCCGGCCTCTACCCTTGGTTGAACCCGAGACCCCTGTTCTGGAGGCGTCGGGGATGCCCCCCCCCCCCACGACGCCTCTCCCGGCCAGCTCACCTCCAAGAGCTCCCAGGGTAGAAGCCGCAGCAGTCCCTGAACCTCGCCGCTCTACCCGCACCAGGAAGTTACCAGACCACCTGAAGGACTAGGGGAGTGTACCACCAGAAGAAGGCTGTCTGAGGAGTGGAACTGGTGTGTTGCAGACAACAGTAACAGAATAATTCTTCAGTCTATTCAAATGTGTCCTACTCTTCCTCCCAAAAACTCGGAAGCTATCCCACAGTTTCTCCATAAATTTTTTTGTAAAACAAGTCTGTGGTGGGCCTGAAATTGCCCAGAAAACTTCATGGCTGAGTGGGGATTTGACTCCAAGTTGTCTTGATGCAATTCACACACACACCCCAAGACAGCCCCACACTAGATTGTTCTTATCCTGTCCTCTGTGCCCTCTGGCATTCAGTTGGTAATTGAGCTAGACTAATGTTGACAGCATCTAATAAATGTTTTATTAGTGCTTGATAGCACAAATGCCTTAGGAATATGCGGCTTCTGTGCTTACAGCTTCATTTAGAAGCAGTTCGTATATGTATATGCAATTCTGTCAGATGCAAACTTCTTGCGCACCTTGCATTCCATTCCTAGCAGTTTAGTTAATGAACTTTAAGAAGTGGGGCTGGAATGTCTTGCAGGGAGGAAGTGTGTAATCCACATGGCTTGGTGTGGAACAGAACAGACAAGGCAAGTTTTATTGCCTTGTTGGCAGATAGCATCTGCTGTTGTCACAGCATTTCAGGATTTGGGTAGCACAATCAGCCCTGACTGTGAATCCCATGAAGAGACAACATAGTTGTTGTTATTGAAATAAGGCCTTGATCCTTAAAAGAAGTTTCTCTCAGCAACAGCCAGCTCCAGGAATAACTCCAGATCTTGTTAACAGAAATTTTGTGGAGCTGTGGAGCACAATGAATCTAGCATCTTGCATGACATCCCTTGTGTGTATATATCCTGGGATGCATAAACTGCTTGTATATATCTCTGCCAGCCTTCAGTATAGGTTACAAGCAGTGTTCCCTCTAAGCTGAGTTAGTGTGAGCTAGCTCACAACTTTTTTGCTTCTGGCTCACAGATTTTTGTCCTAGCTCAAGAAGGAGGGCTCCAGAGCCAGCTAATTTATGCAGCAGCTGAATCTCTCGCTCACAACTCTAATGCCAGCAGCTCACAAAGTAGGATTTCTGCTCACAAGACTCCACAGCTTAGAGGGAGCATTGGTTACAAGATGCAAGGGAGGGATGAGAAATGGCCTCTGCAATTTCTCTCCATGTCATCAGGGCAACTGAGGTCATATGGCCATTGAAAGGTTTTCTTAGGAATGCTGGCTCAAAGACCTAACCTACATTGCAATATGATAGCTATTTGTTGTTGTTGTTCAGTCGCAGAATTGAGTCTGACTCTTCGCAACCCCATGCACCACATCACGCCAGGCCCTCCTGTCTTCTGTCATGCTCCAGAGTTTGCTAAATTTAATGTTCATTGCATTGATAACACTGTCTAACCATTTCATCCTTTGCCATCCCCTTCTTCTTTTTCCTTCAATCTTCTTTTTCCTTCAATATGATAGCTAAGTACTCCATTAATAACTGCTTGCCTTGAGCCTGTTGATATATTACACAGTGGTGTCAGATCAGATCTGAGGCATTAATGCCCTGTCCTGTTGTTAACTTGGAACTCATGTTGTCATCACTTTTGCTATTATTGCTCCCAAATTGTTAAGTGTGGGTATCTTTACCCTGTTTGAAAAAGGAAGCATTTAGCGGTCAAGTAATTTCCAGCCCTTCTTCCACTGTTGGTGTGGGGGGGAAAAGACAGTTCTAAATGTGCGTGTACATGGGACATGAAAAAGTGCGTATTAAAACTGAGTTGTACCAAGTTTTTGATTAATGACTGTGCAGGAAGGTTAACTTATAATTGCATTTCAAGCGTGTCACATGTTACAATGCTTTCAATTTTGTATGGACATCATTTGATTTACAATGCTGATACAAGTGTATTTTTAACACCGACAATGGAATCTGGTTTACATGACTTGTGCAAATGGGATCCATGTATTCATTTTCTCCTGGCAAAACAAGATGCCTTCTTAATTTAATGTCTTTGAGAGGATCATTTACTCAGTGTTCCCTCTAAGATGAGTTGTGTGAGCTAGCTCAGAGTTTTTTAGCCTCTGGCTCACACATTTTTGTCTTAGCTCAGGAAGGAGGGCTCCAGAACAAACTAATTTATGCAGTAGCCAAATTGCTCGCTCACAACTTTAATGCCGGTAGCTCACAAAGTAGAATTTTTGTTCACAAGACTCCACAGCTTAGAGGGAACATTGCTTGTGGTGTGCTTTCCTCTTCTGGAGAATATTTAACATCTCATTCTTTGCTTTCCTAGTTCCATATCAGCAGGAGGAAAGCTGCAACCTACTGCAATGCACAATGCATGAGTGCTTTATTCTGTATGTAGTCCCAAGGAGGCAGTCCCAGTGTGCCTTGAGCTTGAAAAGCTTTTTAGCAGATGAATAAAAAATATTGCAATAAATGTTCTGCACACACACAATGTATATCATATTACAGTCAACTTTTCAGAATAAAATACTATAAATGGGAAGCCACAAAGAGTTTGGAAAGAAGGAATTGAGACAAAAGGAATAGAAGGGTAATGAACCACTAGTTGGGGGGGGGGAGGGGTTGAGCTCAGAGCTGTTTATGAGCCATTCTACACACACACACACACACACACTTTTTTTCAGTGCCCAAGGGAGGATTCTTGTTGTCTTTGTCCCTGAAAAGTGTTGTGGGGAGGCATTTGGACTTTGAAAGCATGCTCAAGGATATTACATATTACAACATTTTAGGTATGAAATTATTATACAATCAAGTGTCTTTTATCAACAATTCTAAATGTATGTTCTTTTCAGGGACAAGCTAAACCAAAATGATATATAGTAATGGTCATGATGGCTGCTTCTCTGTTGCAGAGTGACCCGGGGATGGAATAATTTTCAAAGAATAAGCACGTGGGGTCTGTGCGCTTAGTCCTTACAAACGGAATCAATTTTCATTTGAAACTTAGCTTACCAACCCCTGCTCCCACTTTTACCTTCCTTAATGAAGTTTCTGTAAACATTTGTGACTTTGCAGTGTATTGTAGTTCTTTATTAGACTTGGAGAACAAGCATCCCTAAGTATTGTAGAGAATATGGTAATGGATAAAACTTGGGATGAAGAAAGAGCAGATGTCTATTTATCAGTAGGGCAGTAATAATAACTAGGAATAAAGCCATCTGAGTTGGTGAGCTCCGACTCATGAAATCTCATGCGAGAATAAATATGGATAGTCTTTCGGGCGCCATTGGACTTCTGTTTTCCTAGGAATAAAGCCATTCTTCACTACTTGTAAGAGCACTGCCTTAGTTAGTAATCAATACCAGGGGTGTACTGGGTGGGTAGCTAGTCCAGATGGCACTGTAGCATTCTATGCATGGTGCAGAAAGAGAGTCTTGTGATAACAGTGCCAGGCCAAACTCTTCACACAAATCCCTTTGTATTTTTATAGCTATGATATGGTGCATTATGGACACTCCAACCAGCTGCGCCAGGCTCATGCAATGGGGGATTATCTTATTGTGGGAGTCCACACAGATGGTAAGGAAATGGTTTCATTTTTGGCTATTTCAGAAATACCTTTATAAAGGATGCCCAGATTCTTTTCTGAAAACATGGTCACAGCAGATTCCTTTCAGCCAACCCCTGCTAGATTACTCTCTGTTACTGTCTATATCCATGTGACCTTGGAATTCACAGATTCTGGGGCTTTTTCTAAGTCTTGGCCTATATTAGGTTGAGCCTAGCTAGACCCAGGGTAGGAATCATTACAGACAGTATACTGCCCAGTGGCATTACTGCAATAGAGCTAGTTAATGCAGTTGTTTTTAACAGTCTTCTCCATGCAAGCTCTCTTCAGATACACATTCTCTGAAGAGTCCTACTTTTCTCATTGCTGGTTGAGATAAAAGTATTGTGACAATTCATTTATAGCTTTGTGAGCAAGTCAGCATAGAGTTGGGTGGGACAGGGACAGTTAGGGAATAGCAGAAAATGGTGGTTAGAATCAGAGAACACAAGCATAGGCAGATTTAACAGGGGATTAGACAGATTCATGAAGGGTAGGTCTATCACTGGCTGCTAGCCATGGTGACTAAAGGGGACATGTACATTCAGAAGCAGTAACAGTCTGAATACTGGTGCCAGGAGGCAACATCAGATGAAAGTCTCAGCCTCTATCCCTTGTTGTTGGCCCTCCAAAGCTGGCCACTCTGTGAGACAGGATGTTGGACTAGATGGCCAACTGGTGTGATCCAGCAGGGCTGCTCTTGAGTTGTTACGAGGAGAGAGGTAGTTAGTAACAGGCTGAGGAAGTAAGGATTTTTATTGAAACTGTGTCAAGCCGGAGGAGAACTGTTTTAGACACAGGGGAAGCAGTTACTGTGTATTCAGTTGGGGATAGCTGAAGGAAATTAGATTTTCCTAAATGTTTGTCGAGGTTGGTTGGGTGAAATCCATGGCAAGTGCTATTGAATACGCGCTTCACATAATAAATTTGTCTTGCTTTATGAGATCAAAAGTTCTGTCTAGTCAGCACTCTCCCTCCAACAATGGCTGGCCAGATGTCATCTGAATATCCGGGAGCTAGATTTGATTATGGTAGCCACCCCTTCTTGCTTGTCTTGGCATCTGGCTCTAGCACCTTAGCACTTTATGATTGTTTATAATGGTATGATTAACTGATGTTTTTATTTGTGCTGCTTTTGTGTGTTTTACACTTTTATGTAAGCTGCCCTGAGCCTGCCTCGGTGGGGAGGGAAGGATATAAGTCGAAAAAATACATACATAAATAAAAATATTAACAAATATTGCTCTTCTTAACATCAGAGGAAATCTCCAAGCATAAAGGTCCTCCTGTCTTCACACAAGAAGAGAGATACAAAATGGTGAAAGCCATCAAGTGGGTAGATGAGATTGTGCCGGGAGCTCCTTATGTTACAACACTAGAAACTCTGGATAAATACAACTGTGACTTCTGTGTACATGGAAGTGAGTACATGAACTTTCTGTAATCAGTCATTTATACATACTAACACTGGCCAGGCTCAGTGGAAGTTTTCAGAACCTTTCAGTTTGCTAGCACTGATCTAATGCTCGTTATCTTCCTAGATGACATTACACTTACTGTGGATGGCAAGGACACTTATGAAGAAGTGAAGAATGCTGGGAGATACCGGTAAATCTCTCCTTGTTAACTGATGCTGCCCATGTCAGAATAGTGCAGTGGCATACCTAGCCTATTTGGCGCCTGGGGTGGATAATTTTTTAACTCCTCCCTCCATTTATTTTTGCCACCAAGTCACAGTTGCCTTATGGTGACCCCATAGAGTTTTCAAGGCAAGAGATGTTCGGAGGTGGTTTGCCATTGCTTGCCTCCATGTTGACCTTGCTTAACTTTCGAGATCGGGGGGGAGACAGAAAAATTGGTGAAGGAACACAGGAATGAATGAGAAATTTGTGGAAAAGAGGGAGAAAAATCCAGAGAGGGAAAGGTTAATTTATCCTGCTGCAACACCCTAACTATTGCTTTGCAAGATCTGGCTGAGCTGGGTGCAAGGAAGGGGAGAGAGAAAGGCCACCAGAGGTGTCGAACTCATTTGTTACGAGGGCTGGATCTGAGCCCACTTTGTTGGGCTGGGCCTTGTGTGCCATAAAATGTAACACCAGGTACTGGAGATATAAACTTTACAAAGGTGATTTCAGATGCTGAATGGCAATAGCAGGTGAATGGGCAATAGCAGACTTGATTGGATCAGATGTGATATGCAGGAGAGGTAGTAGGCATGGAGATATCAGCATTGGTAATGAGACCTAGGTCTCAATTTGGTCCAGGAGGATTAAGTTCAGGAGGATGCAAAGAATATAAGTCTGACATTAGAAACGGCAACATTTAAAAAACAGTAGGGGAACATTTTAAACTTCCAACACATTCAGTAGCAGTTCTATTACAAAGGAATTTCAAAGGGAGATTAGAAAAAGCGACTGCTGAATTGCAACTGATAATGAAGCATCGTCCTGGACTGCATTGAGACCTAGGTTTCCTTTCTCATTATCAATGCCTGCTGTTGTCATTCAGCATCTGAAATCACTCCAAGATATAAAGACAGATGGACTCATATTCTAGCTGTATCTGAAGAAGTGAGCAGTGACTCATGCCGCAGATTTTGTTAGTCATTAAGGTGCTATTGAACTCTTCCTCTTTTCCACTAATAAATATTGCAAACTGTGCTGTTAGGTGTCTGCCCCCCCGCCCCCCCGGTCTGTTAGAAATGGAGAGAGGGATCAAGTCAGATAATGTGTTGATTTCAGACTGGGCAAAATGCATTCAGTGCTAGTGATGATAATGAAACAGTTTAAAAACTGGGAGGAAGGGGGCAGAGAGGGAGATGTGTTGAACTGGAACATATGGAACCTTAAATGTATTTTTCAGTACTTAGCCATCTACTTCCAGTCATTAAACAATGGAATCCAATCCAAATTCTGTAATTCCTAATCAGGGTCTGTTTGAAAGGAAATAAAATCCCAGATAGATATAGAGAAATCTAATCTAAAAAAACCTGAAAAGAATAAACCAAAATAATTTCTTTTTAATTCCCCTTATCCCAACACATCTCTTTCCTGCGCCCCCTTCCTTTCTTTTAAGGTCCGTGTGTGTGATCAAGTCTCAAAGTAAACAGCAGAGCAGGGTGATCTCAGTGTAAATTGTGCTTGTCAGAAGACGTGTGTGTGCACATGAAAGCTTATACCTTGAATAAAACTGTTGGTCTTAAAGGTGCCACTGGATGAACTTTATTCTCTCTCTGGCAGTTACTGTAGCAACCAGCAGCGTGAACTGTTAAGGAAGTCTTGGAGAAAGCCAGGGAAGTTTAGTCAATCCCAAAGCTTTTTGCTATGCTCAGACTTCCTTGCGACCCTAGTGGCAACTGCATCATAAAAATATAAGGAAAGACAGTCAGCTGAAGGCAGCAGGAAGATGCTGGCTTCAAAGGCCCCCTTCAAAGGCCCTCTTTAAGCTGCACCGGGGCGGACTGCACCCCCCTTGGTACGCCACTGGAATACTGAGGGATTGCTGAAGCACTATACATTTTATTTGTTGCAGTTGAGAATGTATCAGTGGCTCCCAAGTGGTCTCATAGAAATGCAGATCAGGTCCAAGCCCATTGGAACTACATCAGATTTTAAAAAGACCATTCCAAAGTACTTGTCTTCTAATTAACTATAGTGTGTCTCACGAATATTCTTACTGCAGTAAGGAGACTCAAAGTTGAGGACACTGTAGATACTCTTAGTGGCTGTTTCCAAAGCTCCTATCTCATGCTGACCTTGTCTTATTGCAGGGAATGTCAACGCACTCAGGGAGTGTCCACCACAGATCTGGTTGGCCGTATGCTGCTCATGACCAAGGCTCACCACAGTAATATTGTGAGTCAAAAAGAGGGATGTGGACGGGGGAGACAGAGACTTCTTGTCTCCATCAGTTTCCTATGGTACTCAGGTCTTCTAGTCTAGGGTTGCTTCCTGGGCAGGTTGCAGTAATGTTTCTGAGTTCTACAAGCTGTCTGGGGGGGAAGCCAGGAGACTGGAATCTGCTGGTCTCTGTGATATGTGCCAGGACCAGTGCTGCTTGGCAGAAGCCTTCTAGGCAGCAGATGCCAAAAACAAAATGAAGCATATGTTTGACGAAGTGGCCTTTGAAAGGAATTCAGACAACTACTATTAGTGTTTAAACCTTGTGTACTGTGTGGGTGAACTGGTGAGGAGGAAAGAGAGGGAGAAATGTTGTTTGTGTGGGTCACCAGATGGCAGTGTTGGAAGACTAGGGAAAAGGAGTTCAAGTGGGTTGCACATGGCAGGTGCGTAGCAGTGCAAGGTTGCAGCAGTTTCTCAGATGGGCAGTATGATTAGTCTCCCAAGACTACACTTGAGAGTGGACCAAAAGCATCTGTTTTAAAGTTTCACTTTGTGCCTCATGGGTGGTTGAAGATGAACCCCAACATTATCCTACACAACATCTGTGCAAGTTCCAGTTGAAAGCTTATGTCAGTGTGCGTAAATATGAGTGATGGCAACTGTGTTAGCTCTGATTGGATGCAGAGCTCATCATATTTCTTTCCTGAACTGGAAGAATTCAGCCAGAATTATTCACCATTGACACACACTTTTTAATTCACAGGATGAAGATATGGATTATCGGAAGCACAAAGATAACTTTGGGAAGGTAAGGGCCAGTGCCCGTGATCACAACTGAGCCCGGTTGGGACAGTCTTCCTGCAATGTATGCTGTTTCTTCCTGACTGGGGATATCCTGACTAAGCCTGACTTTGAAAATGATGAGGGGGAAATGACCTGGTCATAAATGACTTAATACCATATGCTCTATAGTCTGTTCATAACATTTATATAAGAATCCTAACCAGCAATTACAGACTGATCACAAAATGGGCTTTAATTATTGTGAAATCTTGGGAGAAATAAAGACAACGTTTCTTTCTAGACACCATGGCATGGTAGTTCATAGACATACCACTTTGCTATACAGAGACCTCCCCAATGTGCCTGTAAGCCAGGAGATGAAGCACCTACAGTTTCCCCATGTCCTTTTGTTCCCCTACCCTGACTGACGTATTGAGCAGGACTTTTATTACACTGCAGCCAGACCTGAACGGATAGGAAAGATGAAAGAGGCAGGGTAAGTTAACTGCTTTGACTCCTAGGGATACCAGCCTCCAGGTGGGACCTGGGGATCCCCCAGAATTACTGCTTATCTTCAGAATACAGAGTTCAGTTCCCCTGGAGAAAATGGATGCTTTGGAGGGAGGACTCTATAGCACTGTACCCCACTGAGGTCCCTGTCCTTCCCAGGCTCCACCTGGAGCTGGCAACCTTACCCACCCACCCCGCCAGTGGCCAGGGAGGACCTGGAAACCCTATTGACTTCTGATCCAGCAGCAAATTAAAAGGCACAGAGGGAAGCGCTAGTCTTCAGCTTGTTAAGCTTAGTAGACACAGATTCATCTGGCACTAATCATTGGCTAACTTGCTAAGGGAGTGTCTGTTTGCTGCTGCATCTTTGGCTCCTAGTCTTTGTAGTCTTGACTACATATTGAGAAGCACTTGTAAAAGGACAAAAATCAGCTCAATGATCAAGGAGCTTCTTTGGGGTTTACCACAGTCACACGAAGGGCTTTGTGTAGAGCTTTGCTTAGGCAGTCTGGAGGTACTTTGAGTTTCTTCAGTATCTGCCCTTTTTCATTTACAGAATAGAATTAAGGCCATAGCTAGACAATTGTCAGTGGGGGGACACGTGGGGGGCATGTGCCTATGTCACTTCCTATGTAACCCATAGTGACATTGTCCCTGCATCTTCCCCACTAGGTTTTCCTTGCTGCAGCTGTCTTTTTTTCTTTGGGGAGAGCCTGCACTTTGCTGCCTGTGCATACCTGTCTGTCTCCCTTTTGAATGTCAGGCAGTAGATGCACAGCCCATCCCCAGCTCTTTCTAAGAGACACTCCTCCCCCTTCCCTGCTGCTTCCCTCTCCAGTCTCCTTCCCTACATGCTGCAGCCAAAACCTGCCTGGCCCCAGCACTCTTGGCCCCAGAAGGCCAGGCATGGCTGCTGGGCAGGGCCAGCCCAAGGGTTTTCTGCGCACTAGGCGAGGCTACCTTGTGGCGCGCGCGCGCACACACACACACACACACACACACACACACACACACACACACACGGTGCCGGCCCTGTGTGCTCTTTTTTTGCGTCCTATCCCGTCTCGGTCCGTACAGGGAGAGCCCCTCCCTCCCGGCAAGCAGGCGAACCCAGTCGGGTCAGTGACAAAGAGACGCTTGTGCCAGATGCCCCCTCGAAGCCACGCGGGGGGAAACTCCATGCTGCCCCCGGCCGCTCGAGGCTGCCTCATTCCTTTCCAGACCAGCGGAGCGCTCCACCTGCTGCCGCTGCAGCACCGCAAGAGGAAAGTCCAGGCGGGGCAGCAGGGGGAGGCCCCCGCCCACAGAAGGAGTCGCGGCGGCTGCCCAGCGAGCAGGCCAGCAAACTGCCTGGTGCCAGTGCACGGTAGCACTTGTTGAGTGCAAGCCAGAGTGGCGCTTCTTCTTGGGCATAGATCATCCACCGGGCCTGAAAGGAAGTCCATCCACAGGGGGAAGGTCTTGGGGCGGGCTGCGGGAGTGCCGTGCCCCCCCAACCAATGCTCCCTCTAAGCTGTGGAGTCTTCTTGTGAGCAATGCTTGTGGGGGAGGGTTGACTGAAGAGCCCTCTTCCCCCTCCTGCCCCCCCTCCTCTCTCATGGGCAGGTCCTGCCTGCACAATGCTCCCTCTAAGCTGTGGAGTCTTGTGAGCAAAAATCCTGCTTTGTGAGCAGCTACTGGCATTAAAGTTGTGAGTGATTCGACTCCTCTCCCCGGCGCATTCTGGGCTCTGCCGCCCCCCCCCCCAAGCCCTCTGCCTGCCTCGCCTCGCTCAGAGCCCCTTCAAATCTGGCTTGGGAGGGGCGAAGAAAGCGCCCCACCAGGCCGTTCCAGGTTTTACCCTGTCCCAGCTGCAAAACCCGGGGGGTGAGTGGGGGGCGCGATTTCTGGGGCCCACAAACCCACCCTCCACAGCCCCCCCAGCTCCTTTGCCCTCCGCCTCCCCATCAGCCCAGCTCAGCGGGAAGCGCTCTGCACGTGCTCGGAGGCCCTTTGCAGGCTGGGCGGGATGGCGGCTGTGGGCCAAGTCACACACCCCGCCCAACTCACCTGGCTTCCCCAAGAGGCCCCCAGCGCCGCTAGAAGCGGCAGCAGCAGCAGCCGCTGCACAGAGAGGCCAGGCATGGCAGGGTGGCGGACTGTCGAGCAGGCTCCGAGAGGGCAGCCTATTGGCTGAAGGCACGGGTCAAGGTCTGCAGGGGGCAGGCGGGCGAAGGGGCCAACCATTCCCACCCCGGTTGGGTTGCGGGTGGAAGGAAGAAGGGGGGGGGGAGCACAAGAGGTTCTTCCTCACTGACCCATTGTCACGCGAGGGTGTGTGTGTGTGAAGAGGTGGTGTTGGCCGGGGTGCGCAGCGGGGGCAGGGTGGCTTTTGGCGGGAGGGAGGGTGGCTCAGTCCGGCGCCCCCATGATGGCTCTGTGCTCCAGGCGAGAGTCTAGCTTGCTTAGTAAGCGAGCCAGCCCTGCTGCTGGGGAATGCAGCAGGAGCTGAGGAGAATAGCTTACCCTAGAGCCGAGAGCACCAAGACTGGGCAGCTGGCTAGCAGGTTTGGGCAGGTCTCTGCTCCCAAAGCGTCCCTACCTGACCCCTGGCAGACACTCCGGAGACACTGCAAAGCCTACTGCCATCTCTGGGAAAGCATAGTTGTTGGCAAGTAGTCGTTGGGGGAGAGTAGTATAGGGAGGGGCAGGGCACATTTGAGGAGCACTGCCCCTGTCAGCCCCCCCCCCCCCCCCCCGGCTATGGGCGTGGAGAGAATTATGTGGGAAGATTACTGTGCCTTGCCTGGCCTGCTTGTATTCTTAGTGCTCTAGTTCAGCCTTTGGCCTCAAGGAAGTTTCTTTTGGCACCTTGGTTGTAATGTAATACCAAAGAGATGTTGATTGCACTAGCTGTATAAACTATGCCCAGTCCTGTCACTTGAGGGAGCTAACATTCCATTCTGCTCCTCTGAATGCAGCAATGGAACAGACTTGGTGAGGAAGAGTATATGTGTGGAAACATGTGTGGTCTGTTTGTTCCTTATATATGCAAACTTTGGTGGTTGTGTTGTCTCTGGATCTCTCACTAGATACAGTATCAACTTAAAAATCATAAGTATTAAAAAAAAGTAATGTGCAAAATCCAATGTACATATGTTTTCAGTAAGAGAAGTATGATTTTGACTAGGATAACCAAAATTGATTCACATGGTATTTTAATCATTTTGTTTTTCTTTTCTCTGGCAAAAATCTTTGATAGCACCTCTGAAGGCTCATTTTCTAATTCAAAATGTTCATCTTTTTTTTTTAATTAAATCCCCGTAGGGATATTTTTTATTTTGCATATACTACAAACTACAAAGAAATATAGGGGAGGGACTACAACTAGGGATAAAGAAAAGCAAACCACACTAGACTAAAACTCAAGAGAAGGAGATCTTTTCACTGTTAGTAAATATGTTAGTACCATTAGTTTTATTATCACAATATATTTGTTGAGTTCTTGCTTATAACAATTTGCTTCTTGTATGTTATTTTGTTAGTTGTTATGAGAGAAGTCTCTGATCATCTTCTTATTCTTTGCTTCAAAAGGCCATTTTCCAAGTCCTTCTGCCTTTACTTCGGCTTTCTGTCTCTAAAATCGTATACCACTCTGGCAGGTCCTGCACCCTTTTCTGCCGCAGAATCCTCTTCCGTTCCCGAGGTAGCAGAGTCACTCGACTTCGATTCTCCCTCTTTAGACTCATCATCTGTCCCCAGCTGACGTTTCAAAAATTCTTTAGCTTTAAAAGTGGAGTCTATCTTCTCCCTTCTATCGTTGATCTTAAAGATGACACCTTCCGGAACCGCCCATCTGTACGATATTCCATTAGTTTGAAGGAAAGAAATTAATTCCTTGTAATTTTCCCTCTTTTGTCTAATTTCAAATGGAATGTCCTTTAAAGTTTTAATGGTTACATTTCCCATTTTCACTGGAGTTGCTGATGTTGCTTTTAAAATGGCATCTCTGGTTTGTCTTCTTGAAAACTTGACCACTATGTCTCCAGGTAGGCTATTTTTTTAATATAGTTCTCTTTAATTTTCTCGTTTGCCTGCTCCACTTTTTTCTCCGTCTCGTTCAGCTGAAACTGCTGTGCTGCAAAGTTTTTATTCATCACAGTCAATTGCTGGTTAATACCATCGAGTTGTTCCATCACCATGCTTGAGCATATCCGCCAGGAGTTTGAGAACATCTGCTCCCTCTTCCAGTCTCGGACTCTGCCCGCCCGGCTTCACTTTAAACTTTCTCTGCTGTCTTTCTCTGCCATCTTTCCCATGTTATTTACAGTTTCTGCCACTTCCCCACAACTCAGAAAACTCGCCAAACGACTTCGCAATTCAGATAAGTCTCTCAAAACACTTTTGGTTTACTTCCTCCCCTCTCCCCCTTCGTGTCTTAACCGCTCATTCGCAAAAGAGGCGTCCCTCTTTGCAATCTCTGTTTCCAATCGCGGGGGGGGGGATCGCTTTTCAAACTACTCCGTTTTTATTCAG